CAGCCTGGCTCACCGCTGCCTGCTCCTTCTCCGTACACAGAGTAGACTGGGGGCCTTGCTGAGCGTCGTGAGCCTGCGTCGCGTCCTGTCTCACCTGTCCGTTCTGGTCGTTCCGGTCGTCAAGTTCCTCATCAGCGGTTGCCGGCTGTCTCCGGCCCTCACCTTGTAGTTCGTCATCCTTCCTCTCCTCCGCCGCGTGTTGCTCTGCCGTCTCCCCCTGCGTCCTCTCTGCCTGTCGTTACTGACCCTGCGTCTGACCAGTTTCGTGCTGAGCACTCTACTGTCACGCGTCTGCTTGCCACTGTTGTCACTGACCCGTCGTTTGAGTCTGCTGCTGTGTCTGCCTTAGTCGCTGAGCTTGTTGACTTTGTTGCTGCCTGTCATCTCGACTACGCCGCCAGTCTTGTTGCTGAGTCTGAGTCTGTCTGTTCTCCGTCCGTCGGGGGTGAGTGTGCTCTTGGCACGGACGTCCTTGAGGACAGGCAGGAGGACCTTGAGTGTCTTGCAGCCGCTGCGCCTCATCTCGTGGCCATGCTGCTTGCCCCTGAGGGAGACCCGGATGCACCAGACATCCCTACCCCGCGCTCTTACGCTGAGGCAATCGCGGGTGAGTACTCCTCTCACTGGCAGACAGCCATGGACGCAAAGATGGCATCCTGGAAGTCCACATGCACCTACGTCGACGAGGTTCCCCCTCCTGGGGCGAACATTGTCAGTGGCATGTGGATTTTCAGGGTGAAGCGGCCGCCAGGTTCTCCGCCTGTCTTCAAGGCTCGTTACGTGGCTCGAGGCTTCAGTCAGCGAGAGGGAGTTGACTTCTTCCAGACCTTCTCCCCCACCCCGAAGATGACCACTCTTCGGGCGCTGCTACGCGTTGCCGCTCAGCGTGACTACGAGCTTCACTCTCTTGACTTCAGCACAGCCTTCTTACATGGCAGCCTGCACGAGGAGATATGGCTGCGCCGCCCTCCTGGCTTCACTGGGTCGTTCCCTCCTGGTACCCAGTGGAGCCTCCGGCGGCGGGTCTACGGTCTCCGCCAGGCGCCACGTGAGTGGCACGACACACTGAGGACGACACTTGCGGCTCTTGGGTTTGCTCCGTCGACTGCTGACCTGTCGCTGTTTCTGCGCACCAACACTTCGCTGCCGCCGTTCTACATCCTAGTGTACGTCGACGACTTGGTCTTTGCCACTGCTGACACTGAGGCTCTCGCCCTGGTGAAGTCGGAGCTGCAGAAGAGACACACGTGCACAGACATGGGTGAGTTGCGCAGCTATCTTGGCTTGCAGATCACCCGGGACAGAGCACGCCGCACCATCACACTGACTCAGTCACACATGGTGCAGCAGGTCCTTCAGCGCTTCGGCTTCACCTGGTCCTCAGCACAGGCCACTCCTCTGGCTACAGGTCACTCGCTCTCAGCTCCACCTTCGGACGAGTCCGTAGAGCCGAGTGGTCCTTACCCAGAGCTAGTGGGCTGCCTCATGTACTTGATGACCTGCACTCGTCCTGACCTTGCGTACCCTCTTGGCCTTCTGGCTCGCTACGTGGCTCCTGGTCGGCACCGAAAGGTGCACATGGATGCTGTTAAGAGGGTACTACGCTACTTGTGCAGTACATCGGGCATGGGGCTCGTGCTTGGAGGACGGGGTGACGTTGTCCTCACTGGTCACTCAGACGCCTCTTGGGTTGACGACCAAGGCTACGCAGCGGTCGTCACAGGGTTACACCTTCAGCCTTGGTTCTGGTTCAGTTTCCTGGCGTTCTACACGTTCGTCTTCAGTTCTCGGCTCCAGCTGTGAGGTCGAGATCTACGTCACAGCCATGGCTGCACAGGAGCTACGCTGGCTCACCTACCTGCTGACCGACTTGGGAGAGCGGCCTCGTTCTCCTCCAGTCCTGTACGTCGACAACAAGGCTGCCATTGCCTTGTGTCAGGAGCACAGAATGGAGCACAGAACGAAGCACATCTCTCTACGTTACTTCCTTGCTCGAGAGCTGCAGCAGCGTGGCCAGCTTCGTCTTGCTTACGTGGCCACTCGGGCCAACACTGCTGATATATTCACCAAGGCACTTCCGCCTGGTGATCATCAGCGTTTTTGCACTTTGTTAGGCCTTGTTCCCACGCTTCCTCACTTGCTGTAGGCTTTCTTTGTACTGTGATTTATTTGTATACCTGCATGCTTGCTCTTGTAGGTAGATATCACTGTGCTGTTGTTGTTACACATATATCTCTGCATGTGAACTGGCCTTGTGGCCTTTTGCTTGTGCTGAGACTGCGTGGTGACGTTGTGATCCACCCTGAGCTTGCTTTGCACTTCCTGCCTGGCTTTGTGACCCTCTGTTCTCCACCACTTTGCCTATGGGGGTGTGTCAAACATATGTTTATATGTTATAGTTTAGGTAGGCTTTAGTGGGGTACTCACTGTGGGGTACAACCCCTTAGGTTTTCTTTTTGTACCACAACTCTCGATAGTCCAATCATCCCTTGTCTAAGAGTTTCACATGAAGCGCGTCCAGTGTCTTCTCTTGTCCAGGTGAAGACTGCGGCTGTGGCGCGAAACTGACAGAGCCGCGTTGAGGCTCATACGGAGCAAAGGTAGGTTATTGTTGATTTCCGCGCGCGTACGATGAACTATCAAGACTCATTGGTGTTACTCTGTTGTTGTTGCTGTTGTTTGATTGCACAGGAGCTGCTTGCTGGTGTTGCTCATAGAAGGACATGAAGGAGAAAAATTTCTCCATCATGTTTGAGTCGAAGCCTGCTGCTTGATTTCCGGGGATTTCCGTTGACTCTGCAGCTGGTCTTGTGCCTTCTTCTGTCTGTAGGCCGGAGACTGGAGGTGGAGTAGGGGTGGTGCCGAGAGATCCGTTGGAGGAGCTCCTCTCCTTTTGTGTAAGCCATGACTTGTATTGTAAGAATTAAAGAGTGATCTTGTCCTGCCTTGCTCTGATACCATGTTGGGCTGAGAAAAGCTCTTAGGAACTTTCAGGACTAAGATCGGGTATTGATATAGAGATGTAATAGCGGAAGCGGTTAATGAAGAGTTGTCGTGAACCACCTTGTAGTAGTGTGTTAGAACAAGATAAGTTGATAATAGCAGAGAAGTACAAGGCTTTTATATGATTACAAAGGAATATTGAAAGTTCTATTTTAACTGTTTCTGTTGTTGCGGTTCGATACAGTGCCGACTCGGGTAACTGCTCTGTAACGAGTCAGTTATGTGTCCTTGCTGTCGCACTGTGCGTTTCGTCAGGTCAAAGGTCGGAGACCTTTGACCTTCGCGCAACCTCTGACGGTTGCTTTGGTTGACTCGAGTGCTTCTTCTCTGTAGTCAGTTCCGTTTTTGTGTCGAAGCTTCGATACGACAGAAGCGTTATAAATCACTTGTTTCCAACAATAAACACGTGTTGGATAAATGCGCAGTGTATCAAGCATCATTTCGGCATGTTTTTTTTTTTTGGATGTTTCTCGGGTGACAGTTAGCTGATTAGAACAGTCAAATGGGAGTTTTTACGTGGCATAAAATAAAATGTGGCCAATCTCAGGGAATACTGTGCAAAACCTGCCAAAATGTGCAAGGAAGGATGCCTTCAGCTGCTATAACATTAGATATTGAAGAAGCACAGATGATGTCAACTATTTCCTGGCAGAGATACGTAAGCCTTTTAAATCTCACTGCCAACGATTGCGAGAACCAACCAAACATAGTACCGGGAATGACAGAACTCCCACTAAAGAATACTCAACGTTTATTGGCTCCACATGTTCACCACCTCCCAACTGATTTCAGTCGCCACCTTTCCTTTTCGGAATGACATGGGTCACAGTTCACCGACGCGCGCACCAATCCGTAACCTTCGCGCCTCTAACGAACATCTAGGGGTCTCGGGCGAGCTGTCCCTTGGCCTCACAAGCCGCCCCCGGGTGCTCAATCATAGCCATTCCTTTCGCATTTGGGGCCATATACCATTCAGTGGGTCATGTCCCAACTCGCTGATGTCCGCAAACCACTCGCTATTGTGAGGAATAGGACTGCACCGTACTGAAAGCCCTTGATGTTCCACACGGAACTAGTGAAGGTGAATGCTTGTGTTGTTGTTCTCGAGGCTTGAAGCGTGAGCACCACAGATACTCCGCCCCACTGTCAGAGGTCTCAACTTATCAGCAGACCCTTTTTTTCGACCCTGTTCCACCACGAACAGCAGAACTTGTGCCCAATGAGCGAAAACCCGATCCGCAAGAATCGAGTCGGCCAGATCCTATCATTGCCTAGCCATGGCATTATTGAGCCCTTGCCTTTCCCAAGAGCCAAACTAGCCTCCTTACTGCAAGGGTTTTAGTGGTGGTAGATTGTTAATTTGTGGAGATGTGCTGGCGACAGCACTGCCTCGTATGTCTGTTATTCCCAAGAACCGCCATACGCCCTTCTGTGACAACAGCATAGGAATAGCAGCCAATGGTTGTGCAGATCAACCTTGACCGTTCCATTGTCGAACTAGCTAAGGTTCGCTCCCGAGATCCACAGGGTCAGTACGCAGCTCTTATGGTTATCGGGAGACTACGTAGAGGTCTCCGAAACCGTGCTGATTTTGCCAGGAGCCCAACGCTGGCCATTCGAAAAATGGCGGCTACTTCGCGCGTGCGCAGAGCCAGGTTACTGACACGGGATTGGTTGATTGAGGAGCCGGGCTTTCATTGGCCGGCGGGCCGTCGTAGACGAGTCGGGCGTGGAGTGTCTTCGACGGAACGGCACGAGATGATACAGCTTCGGTCAGACTACTAGTTACAGCTAGCGATGCCAATTAATCAACCATTTGAGAATCTCGAGCCATATTCTCCACGAGTCGCCAGAGAAGTATTTTTTCATGAGTCTACCTTCCAACGAAGATTCCCTGCTCAACTAAGCCGGAGTAACTCGGACCAAGACCAATTCGAACATATCGTTATCACCTTCCTTCGCACCACTGTAGACCGATTCCCGCATTGGAAAGAATCATGGGTTTTCAGAGCGCGACCCTCGCCGCATCCAACGCTACTCCTCTCGTGTGCCGAGCTGGCAACTCGAGCCGCCAGCTCAAGCCAGAACACGGCTGCACCAGCAGCTACATCCAGGTCCCCCACCGCGTCGCATCCTCCCCTTCATATCTCCGTGCACCGTCGTATTCCTCGCGGGTCCGCAGGCAAATCTCGGCTTTTCCGCTGCGGGTTGCTGCGGAATCTTCCCCCGCAGATACTGCCACTGGCAAGCCTGGCGGCTCTAAACCCGACAGTTCCAAGCCTAGAGATGTGATTCCCGCCGCTGCTGCTGCTGACGGTCCGGCGGTTGTAGCGGGAGCTACAGCCGTGCTGGAGGCGCCTGCGGTGCTACAGCCGTCGACGGCGGCCGGCAGCGACCCAGATGCGGCCCGGCTGGTACCCCGTGTGGAAGAGCGCAACGGGTATTGGGTCCTAAAGGAGGAGTATAGAACGAGTCTTAATCCCGCGGAGAAGATTAAGATTGCCAAGGAACCGATGACGCTGATCGCGGAAGGGGCTAAGGCGCTTCGGGAGCTGGCTCTAAAGACCATGGCGGAGGTGGATGGGAGTAAGGAGACGAAGGATGACATCGACTCGCGGTTCAAGTGGCTGGGGCTGTTTCATCGCCGCAAGCAGCAATGTGAGTTTGTGGCTCTGACGCCCATATTGCGGTTTTTTATTTTGTGATTCTATCGTAGCACTTGCGTTTTGGACTTCGTACCTCTAGGCCCCACCCTCCTCTTCTCCCCCTCCCCCTTCCCCCTCTTACCCCCCGTTTCCCCGCTGCAAACGGTCGCTTCATGATGCGCCTTTGGCTGCCCAACGCCATCACGACGAGCGAGCAAACCCCTTTCCCCTATCACCCCACCCTGTTCCCCCCACTCCATCACCACCCCCCCTCTCCCCCGCTACAGACGGTCGCTTCATGATGCGCCTGCGGCTGCCCAATGGCATCATTACTAGCGAGCAGACGCGGTTCCTCGCTGACGTCATCAGCCGTTACGGCGACGAGGGCGTGGCGGACATCACGACGCGGCAGAACTGGCAGATCCGCGGAGTGACGCTTCAGGACACGCCGGACATCATTGAGGGGTTGAACAAGGTACACAGCGGTGCTGAGGGATGGGAGGGTTTGTGGGGGACTATAGAGGAGGTACAGAGCGGTGCTGAGGGATGGGAGTGGGTAGGCGAGGAGGGCGTGGCTGCACATCACGACGCGGCAGAACTGGCAGATCCGCGGGGTGACTCTGCAGGAAGCGCCGGACATCATTGAGGGGTTGAACAAGGTACAGAGCGGTGCAGGGGGGTTGAATCGAGTATGCGGGACTACAGAGGAGGTACAGAGCGGTGCTGAGGGGTGGGAGTGGGTAGGTGAGGAGGGCGTGGCGGACATCACGACGCGGCAGAACTGGCGAATCCGCGGGGTGACTCTGCAGGACACGCCTGATATTATTGAGGGGTTGAAAAAGGTACTGTGGTGCTGAGGGATGGGAGGGAGTATTGAGGAGGTACAGAGCGGTGCTGAGGGGTGGGAGTGAGTAGGCGAGAGGAGGGCGTGGCGGACATCACGACACGGCAGAACTGCCAGACCCTCACACACCCTCCATCCCTCCTCTTCCACCCCCCTGCTCCCTTCCTCTCCGTGCGCCGTTCTCTCTCTTTCTGGCAAGTGAGTCTGCGGTTCATCGAGGTTGTTTTTGAGTCGACTCAAAATACCTTCCTCTCCATGCGCCGTTCTCTCTCTTCTCATGTGAATCTGCAGTTTAGTCAGATCGGAATGGACAATGTGCGCAACGTGGTGGGCAACCCACTCGCGGGGATCGACCCAATTGGACCCTCTCCCTTCCTCCCCTTCCACCCCATAACGTCTCCCTTATCAGGCTAATCTGCAGTTCATTCAAAGCGGAATGGACAATGCGCGCAACGTGGTGGGCAACCCACTGGCGGGGATTAACACTCACGCCCTTTCTGCCTTCCCGTTTCCTGCCACACACACCAACCCCAACCACTGGCAGGTCAATCTGAGGTTCATCCAGAGCGGAATGGATAATGCGCGCAACGTGGTGGGCAACCCACTGGCGGGGATCGACCCCCTCGAGATCATTGACACGCGCCCCTTCTGCCAGGCCATCGATGACGTCATCACGGGGCACGGGGAGGGCAACACTGCTTTGTCGAACCTGTGAGTGTGTGTGAGACCGTGTGGGTGTATGTGAGAGTGTCAAAGGCCCCATTCGAGCCACTAGCAGCCGACTGGCGGGCATCAAACGACTGGTGTGTATGTTGTGTCATTAGAGCCATCGCCCCCCTCGAGATCATCGACACACGCCCCTTCTGCCAGACCATCGATGACGTCATTACTGGGCACTGGGAGGGCAACACGGCACTGTCTAATCTGTGAGTGTGTGCGAGTCCGTGTGGGTGTATGTGACAGTGTTCAAGGCCCCATTCGAGCCACTATCAACCCACTGGCGGGGATTGACCCACTGGATCATCGACACACGCCCCTTCTGCCAGGCCATCGATGACGTCATTACTTGGCACGGAGAGGGCAACACAGCTCTGTCCAACCTCAAAGTATGTGTGTGCGAGTCCGTGTGCGAGTCCGTGTGCGAGTCCGTGTGCGAGTGTGAGTATGTGCTTCTCAAAGGGTGTGGCCGGAGCCTTTTTTAAATGCATGAGAAAAGCAACTCCTGTGTGATCCTAGTTCATTTTTTATTGTGTGGTGGTGGTGACTACTTACTGACCCTGTAACAGTTTCGCAAGTTCAGAAAGGTGATATTGCGTTCCTCTCCCACCCCCCTCATTCTCTTCCGCTCCCCCAAACTCTCCGCCCTAGCGCAGCCCACGCAAGTGGAACGCCAGTGTGGGGGGCTCACACGACCTCTTCGAGCATCCTATTCTCCCCCTTTTCCCCCACCTTCAATACCCCCATCCAGCCCGCGCAAGTGGAACGCCAGTGTGGTGGGTTCACACGACCTCTTCGAGCATCCCCACATCAACGATCTTGCCTTCATGCCCGCCCTCCGCCGAACCTCGGACGGAGGCTCGGAGGGCGAGATGGGGTTTGAGATGCATGTGGGAGGGTTCTTCAGCAGCAAACGGTGCGAGGAGGCGATCCCGATGGACGCGTGGGTGCCAGCTCAGCCTGCTGACGTGGCGGCTGCCAGCAGGGCAGTGCTGGAGGCGTTCCGGGACCTTGGGAGCCGCAGCAACCGGCAGAAGACGAGGATGATGTACCTTATAGAAGATCTGGTGAGTAGGCTTATAGGGTAACTGGTGAGCGGGCTTACAGAGGAGCTTGTGAGTGGGCTTATAAAGGAGCTGGTGAATGGGCTTATAGAAGAGGGGGTGAGTAGCCTTTTATAGGAGCTGATTATTGAGGAGCTGGAGTCGCAGCTAAACAGTGCACCACCTTTTCCTCGCTTGTCACCCCTCCCTTCTCTCGCCAGGGCATGGAGGTGTTCCGAGCTGAGGTGGAGAAGCGCATGCCCAATGGCCACCTGCCACGTGTCAGCAGCTCCTCCCCTCACCTCCCCACCAACAGCAGCACCACCACCTCCAACGGAAATGGCAGCACTGCTGCCAGCAGCAATGGCACCAGCACCAGTAGCAACGGCACCACCAGCAGCGCCAGCATCACTGCTGCCAACCCCTCAGTCCAGTCCCTGATAGACCCATCCTGGTCCCGTCGGTCCTACCTGGGTGTGCATCCCCAGAAGCAGCCTGGTTTGGTCTATGTGGGTCTGCATGTGCCTGTGGGCCGGGTTCACCCGCCGACCCTGCACGAGCTCGCACGACTGGCCGAGGAGTACGGCTCGGGGGAGGTTCGGCTGACTGTGGAACAGAACGTGATTATACCGAACGTGCCTGAGGGGAGGGTGGCGGATCTGCTGAAAGAACCGCTATTGGTCGGTGGGAGTGGAGAGGTGGCAACGGGGGGAGAGAAAGGGGAGGGAGAGGCGGGGGCGGAGGATGGGAAGGGGGAAGCGGGGAAGGGGGATGGGTGGGATGGGTTGAGTGCACAGCCGGGGAATCTGATGGGGTCACTGGTGGCGTGCACTGGTAACCAGTTCTGCGGGCAGGCCATCATTGAAACCAAGCAGAGGGCGCTGCAGGTGAGAATAGGGCACTGCGGTTGGGAGGGGCTGTCAGGATGAGTTGGTGGGGGGCTGTATGGTTGGAAATATAATGGGGCGCTGGTGGTGTGCACTGGTAACCAGTTCTGCGGACAGGCCATCATTGAAACCAAGCAGAGGGCGCTGCAGGTGAGAGCGGGGCGTTCAAGGGGGGGACATACGGGGCAATGCAAGTGGTTGACTTCATAGCTTTCAATGGTTACTGGTCCACCGCAATGCATTTTCGACTGCTCCTGTCCCCTCCGTGTGCTTGCTTGCTTGCTCTCTTCTCATCGTGCCCCTGATTCTAATGCTCATACTCCCCCATCTCCATGTGTTTTCTTTTTTGCTTCAGGTCACGCGGCAGCTGGAAGAGACTTTGAATCTGCCCGAGCCAGTGAGGATCCACTGGACTGGCTGCCCAAACTCTTGTGGGCAGGTGAGTCTGAAAGTCTTTTACCAGCATTGGCCAGGTCCTTCTTTTATTAGACAAAGGAAGACTACTTTGGATCCTGCTTCAAGCTGTGAAAGCAGCATAGCTTTTAAATAGGCTGGATATTCGACTTTGTCCTCTTTCCCCACTTGACCCACACAGGTGCAAGTGGCAGACATCGGCCTAATGGGATGCATGGCAAGAGACGAAAACAAGAAGCCCGTGGAAGGAGTCGACATCTACCTGGGCGGCAGAATCGGAACTGATTCTCACCTGGGGCAGGTGCACAAGGCAGGTGTACCCTGTAAGGACCTGGTACCTGTTCTTCAGGATATACTTGTGGAGAGGTTTGGTGCAACTAGAAAGTAATGAGAGAGCATTACTCTTCAGGACCTGCTGTGCTGCAGATGCTTGTTCAGTTTGTTTAATAAAATCCATCGTTTGTTCGTAAAATCCATCACACCTGTTTAATAAAAGTTAATCCATCGTTTGTCGGCTAAATAGTGATGGACTAGAGGGCTTGTACATGATACATGGGTTGACTCTGTTGGGAATGCAGGACATGTGATGTGACTCACGCCCACAATATGCATTATTCTTAGGGTAGTTTCTTCTGTATTCACATGGTGCTGCTTATATGGCGTACCATATGGGAAAATGGAGGTAATGTACACCTCTTGCTGCCAATCTGGACACCTCAGCCCATAAGTTTCAGGTGACCAACCAGATTCACATGGAGCCAAAACCTGATCCGACATGCGTCTCGTGGTGAGCAAATAGGTTTGGACACACCTGAGAATCTATCCAATCGGGAACAAGCAACGTGACACCACCGCGGGCAGCACAAGGTCAGGTCGGATCCAGCACAGCACCATCTCGCTGAAGCCTAGCTCGCGCGCGCCGCAGAGAAACAAACACAACTGCGACTCGGTCGCTCTGTCTCCCTTCCCCTCGCCCTACCTCATTCACCTCACATGGATGTTCGAACCCTAACATTTCCTTCCAACATCGAAGCATTGCAACTTCTCTGGTGGGCAATTAGACGAGAAAAATCTCAACTCGACTGTACGGTACTCCTAATCTGTATTGTAATTCCCTACGACTACGCGCACACCCTCGCTTCTCACTCCTCTCCTAGGTTTCCAGAATGGCTAGAGCCGCGCTTCTCGCGCTGTCCCTGGCGCTGCTGCTCGCAGTCGCCCGCGCTGGCAGCCCCCTCACGAGCGCCACCGCGAACGAGAAACCCGACCCGAGCAGCAAGAAGGACGACGGGCTCATGACCGAACTCCCCGCGGACATCGCGAAGCAGGCCGCGTCGGGCAACGCGGCGGGAGTCACCTACGTGGATACCGCGCAGGATTCGTTCTTCATGGCTGATGTGAAGAAGGCCGGATGGAACGCGCAGAAATGCCCGCCTGGTTTGAACAAGGAGCTCGCGGGAGCATGCACGCCAAAAAATTGCTCCAAGGGAGGTATCCCCGCTAAGTGGAAAACCGCTTATCTGCAAAAGAACAAGCTCGGTTACGAGCTGTACGTGCCGGGTAACCCGCTGACGCTGCTCAAGGCGAACCCCGCGTCGTGCTGTAACACCTGCGCCGCGACGCCGCTCTGCACGTACTGGCAGTACATTCCCGATATTACCATCGACGGGAAGAAGGGCAAGGGCGCGTGCTATCTGATCCACGACCAGATTGATTTCACATGCGGAGAAATGACCGCGCAGTATTCGACTGAGACGAAGCCGGTGAATCTGCAGGTGCGCATTGGTGGAGAGTGCAACCCTAGCGCGAAGATCCTCAACGACCCGCATTTGGTGGGCGCGCACGGCACGCATTTCGACTTCAACGGCCGCCCCGACAAGGCGTTCTGCCTGCTCACGGACCGCGATCTGCACGTGAACATGCTGCTGAGGGGATACTATGACGAGCGCACCGATAACGCCGCGCTCGTTGTTGACGGGAAGGCAGTGCACACGTGGATTAAGGAGCTCGGGATCGTCTGGACCGCTCAGGGCGCGGACCACAAGGTTCGGCTCGCGGCGCGCGGCGGCAAGCAGCAGGAGCGCGGCGACGGGTTCATGAAGAGCATCGAGATTGACGGCGAGGAGATCCCGAGGATGAAGGTTGGTGACACGGTGACGACCGACGGCGGTCTGACTGTTCAATTCCGCGGGCTCGAGAAGGAAGGACCGTTCGATGTGGATTACTACATGCTGACGATTGACGGTCTGGTTTCGCTGGATCTGCGCCTGCGCGTCGCGCACCCGAAGCTGCAGACCCCGACCGACGCCGAGGCGCACATCAACGTCGGGATTGCCGAGCTGGAGCACACAGAGGAGATTCACGGTGTGTTGGGGCAGACGTACCGCGCGGATCACTCGCAGCGCGCTGCGGATTTCCAGCGTTTGATCGCGAGCCTGCACCGTCCGATTTCGGCTGACGGCGCAGAGGGGAAGGGGTTCTTGGATGGCACACCCAGGTCGTACGAGGCGAGTGATGTGCTCGCTGTGGACTGCGCTCATACCGCGTATGGCCGCGCCAGGAAGGTTATGCCCGTGCAACAGTTCCCGTAGAGGATTGACTCGTGACAGCATTTATACTTGTATTGTACAGTGGGCTGGTTTGGGTACTAGGCTCATAGATAATTGGGCTGATTTGTTCATTCTTTCGGACGATAATGTCAATATGGAATGAGAAACTGTTCATCCATTGACTTTTGATTGCATCATTAGACATCTAGAAACAATGTGGCTCATCTCTCCAACAGAGCATCTCACTGGATTCTGCCAGCCCTAGGCCATCATCACCCACCCATCAATTCTACCTAAAATCTACCGTATCCTGCTTGACTATATTTATCCTTCATGCTGACCTAGCTGAACGCATTGCAGTAACATGCCAGTAACTGAAGCTTGGTGGTGCTGCAACAGTTAGTAACAGAGGAAACTACCGGTATGACAGGAGAAGGTTGCAACAGAAATGCTGGGGCAGGTTGTAGTACAATGTAGCACAGATAAAGGAGGTTATAGCACGGAGACAGGGGCAGGCTGCAATGCAGCTACAGGAGCAGCTTGTAACGAGGTCACAACTGCAGTACCAGCAGGCGATGGCGTTTGAGACTCAAACGAGGCATGCATTAGCGGCACACCAGCACCTCCTTCCACGACACCTGTTACAGAGTTCAGCAGCAATGGAGGTGGAACAGAGGCGTCTGGAGCTGATGCTGCCACTGCTGCTGCTGCTGCCGCTGCTTGGGATGCGCATGCCACAGAAGGGGCAGCAGCGGGGACAGCAAAGGAGGGAGCAGTGGCGAAGGGGGCAGAAGGGACAGCAGTGGGGGCAGTGGGCACAGCGGGGGCAGAGAGGGCAGAGGGGTCAGTGGGGAAAGAGAGGGGGTTGGCTGCGGTTGTGTGGGCTGGGGGATACGCGGGAGGCTCTTGGGTCATGGCTGACTCGGGGGGGGGATTGTCGGCAGTGGTTGGTACAGGTGTCTGTGCTGGTGCGGACACAGCTGCAGCGGAAAGGTGAAGCGCATGCCCCTGCGCCTGTGATGCTTGCGCCTGTGATGCTTGCGCCTGTGATGCTTGCGCCTGTGCTGCCTGCGCGGAGGCTTCTAGCGCGCGCTGCAGCCCCGAAAGCTCCTGCTGCGCTACAAGCAGCTCCGTTTGCAGATGAACAACGTGCTGCTGCAGTAACGAAATCGCGCTCACGCAGCCGTACACCGGGTCCTGAACTCGCGCCTCCGCTTCATATGCCATGCTATTCGCTGCGTCTCCGCGCAGCTCCGGCGGAAGCTCCGCCAGGATCCGCGTCACGTTGCTCGCGCCGAACACGCGGTGAACGTTCGCGAATCGGCCCGGCTGGTCCGGCGGGAAGTACGGCGCGAAAACGCACTCCGCCGTGCATTTCCGCCGGAGGAACTTGCACGCGGCGCACGGGGACGCGGTTCGACCGTGAGGCGACTCCTCGATTGAAATCGCGGCGGTAGATGCGGCGGAAGAGTCGGAGGCGCCGGCGCTGAAGGAGGAAACGGCGGAAGCCGCCATTGACGCGGCCGACGAAGCTGCTGCTGGCGCTCGTGCTTCAACAGGGGTGGTTTCGTGAGTACTAGCATCCATAACCGAAAAGAGCCTCTCCTGTTGCTCCGCTTGCCTGTTGCGTTGCTCGCCTGCTGCTCCGCTCGCCTGCTGCTCCGCTCGCCTGCTGCTCCTCTCGCCTGCTGCTCCGCTCGTCTGCTGCTCCGCTCGTCTGCTGCTCCGCTCGTCTGCTGCTCCGCTCACCTCCTGCCCTGCTCGTCTGCTGCTCCGTTCGCCTGCTGCTCGTTGAAAGTCCAAGCGCCTCGCCCGTTCCCCGCTCGCCCGTTTCTCCGCTCGCCCGTTTCTCCGCTCGCCTGTTTCTCCGCTCGCCTGTTTCCTCCGCTCGCCTGTTTCTCCGCTCGCCTGTTTCTCCGCTCTACTGCTGCTCCTTCAAAGTCGAAGCCGGGCCGCTCCACCGAAGCAGACTGACTATGAAACAGGTTGAAACTCTACTTAACCTTCGCCTTCTACAACTCTAAGAAGAGCTACCTTAGAAAAACTAAAATAATTACTCGAAACACTATTAGGGACGCGCTTGCTGAGGCCTCTCAGTCAGTGCAACCACCAGATGTTTGGACGAGAGTGGTGTTCTCGTCGTGACCAATCGCCATGGCGTCTCTCGGCGCTTCTCCGCGAGTCGGAGCTCTTAACCACAGAGGCGACTTACGGCAGAGGTGTTTTGAGGCGCCTCGAATCGCGTCGCTCGGCGCTCCTCCGCGAGACGGAGCTCCAAACAGCGCAGCGGTTTCTACGGTAGCAACTTACGAAGTCTCGCAAATATTTCAGAAATGAGTCAAAAGTGGCTTCGCTTCCAGGCAACGCAGCAGTTGCTACTGCCACAGGGGAGCTCCTAAACGATCACAGAAGGCCCCGGAACTAGCGGTTATAACTAAGGTGGAAACTCGCAGGAAGTGTCAAGCTGTGTCCAAATCCGTCCGGTAAAGGTGGAACGAAGGCCCTAGTGGCCGCAGGAGGCGGAGTGACAGCCAGGATTATTAAGGCTTAATGGCTACGGAAGTGTTGCGGATAAAACTCCCGCGCAACTCTTATTGGCGGCCAAAGCCAGCCATGGAAATTGTGTTCCTGTGAACTGAAGGGGAAAGCAGATGCATTGCGAGGGGATGAGGGGGTTTGGATTTAGTTGGTTTTGGGAAGGTACGGGGCTGGGATGGGCTGGGATGGGCTCTGCTGGTTTGAGAAAGGTTAAGTGGGTGTTGAGGTGTGGAAGGACGATCATTCGGGTCTGCTCGACGTGGAATTGAAATGCGCGACGAGCAGTTTCGCGAGTTGGGATAATGCGGTCTGGCCTGAAAGGGATACTGTTGGGAAGTTGACGGATTGGCTGGTGCAGTACAGATGGCGTGTCGTGTACAGTACAATTTACAGGTGGCGGAATGTTGTCCGCGATAACGTGACGTCAGTTCATGGATGTAGTACAGCATTTGCACAGATGGAGAATACGGGCTGCCCGAGTTCGAGTGTGAGCCTCAGGCTGAATATTCTTCTGCAAAGGGTTTAGGAAATACGGCTTATTGGCCTCTATACGCTATATTGACCTTGATGTTTACCTTTTTTTTTGAAAGGAATGTGAGAAAAAAAAAAGGATTTGGTTCTCCTTGACTGACCAAGTCAGAGGTGGCAGAATAGGAGAAGCACTGAATCTCCAGGCCAGCGAAGCGGATGAGAAAAAGGCGCCTCCCAGTCGTGTGGAAGACAGCTGACCAATAACGTTATCCAGAAGCTGGTTTGGCGTGCGTGGGAATCAGGTGGCAATGACGTGCCAGCTGTCGTTCACAAGAAGGTCGAACTACGTGGAGATTCGAGATTGGTGAAGACACACTTCTGGACGTTCGGCTGAAGTCATGTTGGGAAGCCACCCCAGGAATGCAGGAAATGTTGACGAATTGTAGCAGTTGTGGCAGAACGTAGTTGGTTGCCGTTGCAGTGCTTGTGGTAGCATGGATCAGGGGACAGCCTACCAGAGCGTGTTTCAATCGTGCAATACCCTACCACACCGCTCGAGAATCTTGTGTGGATGTGCGAATCTTCGCTACAAGATCTAAGCTCACTTGCAAGGTAGTGCTGATAGGGATGTGGCTTGCATATATGGGTAACCAGAATGTGACACATTACAAACAATACCACACGGCTATGAAAGACGTTCAACAGAGCCCGCAAGTGTTCCTGATCGAACACCATATCCTCAAGTGAGAAAGCGTGAAGTTATAACTTATTTCTCAGTAGCAATAACCTTGACCCACTAGGTGTAAAGAAATATAGGAAAACAAACGTTTTAAAGATGTGTGCGCCCCTATCTCTTGACAGCAAAACATTTATATTACACCGCAATAGGTTGTACTGCCAGCACTGATCTCACTGAATGTACCCCGTCTGTCCACGTCAGACTGCCAAACGAAAACGCGCCTGTCGCAGCTGTCGGGCGTAGGGTAACCGTAAACGCCTGCGACTTGCCCGGGCCAATCACGAAGCTCGTCGGACGCACCGTCACGGCGACATTCTTCGGAGCAACCACCGCAGCAGAATACCTAGACTGCTTCCCGCTCACATTAATCACACTTCGATAAACCGACACGGTGCTCCGTAGCTTGGGCACGCAGATGTTCGGCTGGTTGAGATTGAACGGTTGGATTGGCGCCACGTTCCACTGCGGAAACGCCGCCTTGGCTTGAGTTCGATCGATCCCCGTCAGAAACGACAAGTAACCCATCATACCAACATCGTACACCAAACCCGGATCGAGCGCCTTCGCGGGAAAAACGTGGCCCGATCCGTAATTCCAGGGCGACGCCATTTGTCCCTTCGCGGTCCGGATAAACTTCCTCGCCGTGTTAGTCGTATACGCCGTCGTTAGCATCGCGGATTTAATCGCCGCGGGGCTCCAAGTCGGGTATTTCTGCATAAGTATCGCCGCGATTCCCGCTATATGCGGGGCGGCCATGGATGTCCCGGAAAGTGCGCGGAAGGATCCTTCAGAGGAAGATCCGGCGGCCATGGGTCCGAGGAGAGAGACGCCTGGCGCGGTGATGTCGGGCTTTAAGATGGCGTTGGTGACCTTGCTGCTGTCGTAGAAGCCTGCAGCGGGATTGACGGAGGGACCTGCGCCTGAAAAGACGGCCATTTCGGGAGCCACCTGCTTGGGTAGGAAGAGCGCCGAGAGGGTTGCAGTAGGGCTGTTTGTGGGGGGAGAGGGAGGGGGAAAGGGGGAGAGAATGGGGGGAAGTGTGAGGAAGTGAAAACGGGGGAGTGGAAAGGGAGGCGGGACCTGCGCCGGGAAAGATGGCCATTTCGGGAGCCACCTGCTTGAGTAGGAAGACCGCTGAGAGGATTGCGGTGGGATTGTTGGGGGGGGGGAGGAGGGGGAAGAGTTGGCGGGGGGAATGGGAAGGGGGGGGAGGAAGAGGTTAGGGGGGTGTAAGTTTGGAAAAGAACGTCAAGGCTGGGGGGAGAGCAGGGAAAAGATTGACGGCGGGGCCTGCGCCGGAAAAGACGGGCGGGAGCGACGGGCTTGGGCAGGAAGAGGTGACTTGAGTCGATTCCAAGAGACCTTTGAGGGGAAGCATCAACATGGGGGTCCTGTGGCGGAGAAGGTGACCATGGCAGGAGCGACCTGCGAAAGACAGAGCGACCTGCGAAAGACAGAGCGCCCTGCGAAAGACAGAGCGACCTGCGAAAGACAGAGCGACCTGCTCTTCTGCAGGATGGACTTGTGAATGGACTCACTTGGGGGTGCTGTGAATGGACTCACTTGGGGGTGCTGTGAATGGACTCACTTGGGGGTGCTGTGAATGTACTCACTTGGGGGTGCTGTGAATGTACTCACTTGGGGGTGCTGCGAATATACTCACTTGGGGGTGCTGCGAATATACTCGCGAATGGCCTTGCCCTTCCAGAACACGAGGAACAGCCCCGGCAATCCCAAGGCCACGGTCCTCACTGCGCCCTCCCCATTCGCGTATGGCACCACAATGATCGCCCGCCCGCCCACCCTCGCCACCTCCGCTGCCTTCTCACTCGCGTAGGAAAATCCCGTGCAGCACACCACGATCTTGCCACGCACCTGATGGGTGGTTGATTGAGAGTGAGAGGGATGGGAGAAGGGTGGGATGGAAATGAGTGTGCAATGGGCAATTCTCCACCCTTGCAACCTCCCCGCTGCCTTCTCGCTCGCGTAGGAGAACCCCGTACAGCACACCAGCCGATCTTGCCTCGCACCTTACAGGGATGAGTGGGTGTGGGTGTGGGTGTGGGTGGGGAAGGGGAGAGAGGAGGCGGGAAGGAGAGAAGAGGGGTAAGGGTGATTGCCTTTGATGATTGCCTGCCCACCCGCCCGCCCACCCTCGCCACCTCTGTTGCCTTCTCGCTTGGATGGGAGAATCCCATGCAGCACACCACGACCATGCTGCGCACCTGATAAATGGGGACGAGTAAACGGCTACGCAAGCTTCAGCCTGGGTAGTAGTGAATTCAGCAGCAGCGGCTGTCTTGCCATCCACCAGAGGCAGCCGGCGCGTGCCAGTGCTGTGCTGCCGCCCAGCTAAGGTAGGGAATGAGGGACTTGGAGGGTGATAGGAGCGTAACTTGGAGGGCGCTAGAGAGTAGGGCACACATGCCTCTGCCTGGGAAGCGGTTGTCTTGGCGTCCACCAGAGGCAGCCGGTGTACCCAGCAGCAGCGGACATGTTTTTGAGGCGCCTAAAAAGTCGCAGCAGCAGCGGACATGGGAGCGACAGGGAGGGAGTAAGTGCCTTGCGAACCCAGCTCAGAGGAGGGAGACAACGAGTAGGGCACCTAGGAGGGCTATAAGGAGCGTACCTTGGAGGGCACTAAAGAGTAGGGCACGCACGCTTCTGCCTGGGAAGCGGTGTACCCGGCAGCAGCGGCTGTCTTGGCGTCCACCAGAGGCAGCCGGCGCGTGGCAGTGCTGCACCCCAGCAGAGGCAGGGAATGAGGGACTTGGAGGGCGATAGGAGCGTACCTTGGAGGGCGCTAGAGAGTAGGGCACGCACGCTTCTGCCTGGGAAGCGGTGTACCCAGCAGCAGCAGCCGTCTTTCCGTCAACCAGAGGCAGCCGGCAAGTAAGGGGGCAGTTATGTTGGAAGGGAGTGAGGGACAAGTAAACCCACCTTGGAGGGCGCTAAAGAGTAGGGCACGCATGCCTCGGCCTGCGAAGCCGTGTACCCGGCAGCAGCGGATGTCTTGCCATCCACCAGAGGCAGCTGGCGCGTGGCAGTGCTGCCGCCCAGGAGTGTCTCCCCCAGGTAGCTCTGCCTGTTGCCCAGTGACAGCCTGGCTTGGGGCGGCCAGGCTTGGCTGGACGTGCTGGGGATGGGAGATAGGGGAGGGGGGCGGGGGAAGGGGGGGAGGTAGAGGAAAAGGGTTAGACAGGGAGAGGGCTATTGGGCTAAAGACGGGAGATAAGAGGGGAAGTGGGACTGGGCAGCATACACAAGCCTACCTGGCAACAACACTAGCCTACCTGGCAGCAACACAAGCCTACCTGGCAGCAACACAAGCCTACCTGGCAGCATAAACAAGCCCAGCAACACAAGCCTCTACCTGGCAGCATACACAAGCCTACCTGGCAGCAACACTAGCCTACCTGGCAGCAACACAAGCCTACCTGCCAGCAACACAAGCCTACCTGGCAGCAACACAAGCCTACCTGGCAGCATAAACAAGCCCAGCAACACAAGCCTACCTGGCAGCAACACAAGCCTACCTGGCAGCAACACTAGCCTACCTGGCAGCAACACAAGCCTACCTGCCAGCAACACAAGCCTACCTGGCAGCAACACAAGCCTACCTGGCAGCAACACAAGCCTACCTGGCAGCAACACAAGCCTACCTGGCAGCAACACAAGCCTACCTGGCAGCAACACAAGCCTACCTGGCAGCAACACAAGCCTACCTGGCAGCAACACAAGCCTACCTGGCAGCAACACAAGCCTACCTGGCAGCAACACAAGCCTACCTGGCAGCAACACAAGCCTACCTGGCAGCAACACAAGCCTAACTGGCAGCAACACAAGCCTACCTGGCAGCAACACAAGCCTACCTGGCAGCAACACTAGCCTACCTGGCAGCAACACTAGCCTACCTGGCAGCAACACTAGCCTACCTGGCAGCAACACAAGCCTACCTGCCAGCAACACAAGCCTACCTGGCAGCAACACAAGCCTACCTGGCAGCAACACAAGCCTACCTGGCAGCAACACAAGCCTACCTGGCAGCAACACAAGCCTAACTGGCAGCAAAACAAGCCTACCTGGCAGCAACACAAGCCTACCTGGCAGCAACACTAGCCTACCTGGCAGCAACACTAGCCTACCTGGCAGCAACACTAGCCTACCTGGCAGCAACACAAGCCTACCTGCCAGCAACACAAGCCTACCTGGCAGCAACACAAGCCTACCTGGCAGCAACACAAGCCTACCTGGCAGCAACACAAGCCTAACTGGCAGCAACACAAGCCTACCTGGCAGCAACACAAGCCTACCTGGCAGCAACACTAGCCTACCTGGCAGCAACACTAGCCTACCTGGCAGCAACACTAGCCTACCTGGCAGCAACACAAGCCTACCTGCCAGCAACACAAGCCTACCTGGCAGCAACACAAGCCTACCTGGCAGCAACACAAGCCTACCTGGCAGCAACACAAGCCTAACTGGCAGCAACACAAGCCTACCTGGCAGCAACACAAGCCTACCTGGCAGCAACACTAGCCTACCTGGCAGCAACACTAGCCTACCTGGCAGCAACACTAGCCTACCTGGCAGCAACACTAGCCTACCTGGCAGCAACACTAGCCTACCTGGCAGCAACACAAGCCTACCTGGCAGCAACACTAGCCTACCTGGCAGCAACACTAGCCTACCTGGCAGCAACACTAGCCTACCTGGCAGCAACAGTAATGCAGTAAGGCGAGAGGTTGGTGAGCGTGCGATAGGCGGCCCTGCGCTGCACCTGAAGTGTGTCAACCAGTGTAAATACACCTCCAACCCACACTCACACTCACACTCACACTCACACTCACAAGCCTACTTAGCAGCAACGGTGATGTAGTAAGGCGAGAGGTTGGTGAGAGTACATTGGACCCTACTCGCACGCTGCACCTGAAACCTGTCAACCAGGGTTAAAACACCTCTATCCCACACTCACAAGCCTACCTGGCTGCAACGGTGATGTAGTAAGGCGAGAGGTTGGTGAGCGTGCGATAGAGCTTGGGGCTTGCGGGGGGAAGCCCACTGTTGCCTGCCACCAGTGACACAAACACCCCTGCCTGCTTGGGTTGGGGACGATGGGGGGGGAGCAGGGTTAGGTGTGCTGTTACTTAGAGCTTGAGGCTTGCTGGGGGAGGCCCGCTGTTGTCCGCTACCAATGATACAAACCCCCCTGCCTGCTTGGGTTGGGGACGATGGGGGGGGAGCAGGGTTAGGTGTGCTGTTACTTAGAGCTTGAGGCTTGCTGGGGGAGGCCCGCTGTTGTCCGCTACCAATGATACAAACCCCCCTGCCTGCTTGGGTTGGGGACGATGGGGGGGGAGCAGGGTTAGGTGTGCTGTTACTTAGAGCTTGAGGCTTGCTGGGGGAGGCCCGCTGTTGTCCGCTACCAATGATACAAACCCCCCTGCCTGCTTGGGTTGGGGACGATGGGGGGGGAGCAGGGTTAGGTGTGCTGTTACTTAGAGCTTGAGGCTTGCTGGGGGAGGCCCGCTGTTGTCCGCTACCAATGATACAAACCCCCCTGCCTGCTTGGGTTGGGGACGATGGGGGGGGAGCAGGGTTAGGTGTGCTGTTACTTAGAGCTTGAGGCTTGCTGGGGGAGGCCCGCTGTTGTCCGCTACCAATGATACAAACCCCCCTGCCTGCTTGGGTTGGGGACGATGGGAGGGGAACGGGGGGAAGGGGAGGAAAGGGATGGGATGGGACGGAGGGGGCTGCTGTTTGTTAGAGCTTGGGGCTTGTTGGGGGGAGGCCCGCTGTTGCCTGCTACCAGTGACACAAACGCCCCTGCCTGCTCGGGTTGGCAGCAAGAGTAATGGAGGGATGGAGGAGGGTAGGTGTGTTGTTAGTTAGACCTTGGGGCTTGCAGGGGGAGGCCCGCTGTTGCCTGCTACCAATGACACGAACACCCCTGCCTGCTCGGGTGGGGGATGGGTGGGAAGGTGGGGGAGGCACAGCGGGGATGTGGGGACGGGTGGGAAGGGGGAAGGTGGGAAGAGGCAGGGGAGTAGGGACAAGCGGGATGAGCCAGCTGTCCACAAAGGACGACCCACTGTCCACAAAGGACGACCCACTGTCTTTGTGGATAGTCGACTCAAAGACGGAGATCTTTCATCAACCAACTCCCATCACTCACCCTCGCCGCCCTGAGCATGGCCAGGTGCTTGAAGTATGTCTCCTCATTGGTCGCCATCCACATGCTCAGCACTCACCCTCTCACCCTCATCCGGCCTGCTCCCACTCACCCTGGCAGCACGCAGAATAGCAGCATCTCTCTCTCTCCCACTCACCCTGGCAGCCCTGAGCATCGCCAGATGCTTGAAGTAGGTCTCCTTGTTGATCGCCACCAACATGCTCAGAACTCACCCTCAACCAGCAGGCAAAGCTGCACGCACACAGCCAGTTGCTTCTTGAGATTTTTCATCAACCAACTACTCTCAATCAGTTTTGAGACATCTCAAAACTGCGTTTGAGATTTTTCATCAACCAACTACTCTCAATCAGTTTTGAGACATCTCAAAACTGCGTTTGAGATTTTTCATCAACCAACTACTCTCAATCACTCACCCAGCTACTTCCTCTCACCCTGCCCTGTTACCCACTCACCCTGGCAGCACGCAGCATCGCCAGATGCTTGAAATAAGTCTCCTCATTGATAGCCACGGACATGCTCAGCACATCCACACCGTCCGCCACCGCGCGATCAACGGCTGCAAACACGTCCGAGTCCGATCCAATGGCCAGCTTGCCCTGCACCCAGATGGCCTTGTAGACTGCTATCCGCGCTCTGGGAGCCATGCCACTCGCTGTACCGAACTGCACTCCTCCTCCGGACACCTTTACCGGGTTTCCTGCTGCGGCTCTGATGAGCAATGGGCAAAGGAAGGGATGAAAGAAAGAGAGGATCAATTGACAACCAACGGCCAGCTTGCCAGCTTGCCAGCTTGCCCTGCACCCAGATGGCCTTGTAGACGGCGACCCTCGCTCTGGGTGCTATGCCGCTCGCTCTGGGTGCTATGCCGCTCGCTCTGGGTGCTATGCCGCTCGCTCTGGGTGCTATGCCGCTCGCTCTGGGTGCTATGCCGCTCGCTCTGGGTGCTATGCCGCTCGCTCTGGGTGCTATGCCGCTCGCTCTGGGTGCTATGCCGCTCGCTCTGGGTGCTATGCTGCTCGCTCTGGGTGCTATGCCGCTCGCTCTGGGTGCTATGCCGCTCGCTCTGGGTGCTATGCCGCTCGCTCTGGGTGCTATGCCGCTCGCTCTGGGTGCTATGCCGCTCGCTATATCGAACTGCACCCCTCCTCCGGACACTTTCACTGGATTTCCTGCTGCCGCCCTGGAAAGAGGGGGAGAACGCAGACGAGGGAAGGAGAGGGAAGAGCAGGGAGGAGGAGGTGAAGGAGCATCCTGCTGGAAAATCTCCAAGCAGGCACCCAGTTGGCCTTGTAGACGGCGATCCGTGCTCTTGGCGTCATGCCACTCGCTGTGCCGAACTGCACCCCTCCCCTCGACTCCTTCACTTCACTGGATCGCCACAGCGCCTCCAGATGCCACCAGCCCCTCCCATGCCCCTCCCATGCCCTTCCCATGCCCCTCCCATGCCCCTCCCATGCCCTTCCCATGCCCCTCCCATGCCCCTCCCATGCCCCTCCCACAGGTACTCGGTGGACACAGCCTCGCCAGACGCCACGAGCCGCTCATGCCCTTGCCATGCCCCTGCCATACACTCACATGCCCCATGTGCACCCAAGCACCCAATGCCCCACAACCAACGTACCCCTCACACCACGGGCCGTGATCGCTGGCATCTCGAGGCGACATATACTCCGTGGAGGGGTCCACAGCCCCCCCAGACGCCACGAGCCCCTCGGCAAAGTAGCGCGCGCCGATGATCTTCTTGCTCGCACTCACATCATCCATACATGCCATGACATGCCACCACGCACAGACTCACCCCGCACACCATGTGCCGTGGTCACTAGCATCTCGTGGCGACAGGTACTCAGCGGAGGGGTCGACAGAGCCGCCACTCGCCACGAGCCCCTCGGCAAAGTAGTGTGCGCCGATGATCTTCTTGCTGCAGGCTTTAAAATCGCTCGTCGTGGTGCACTTGCCTCGCCAGCGGGGAGGTACTGGGGGATAGCCCTGGAAACGGGGCACGGGGAGGGGGGAGTGTGAGGAGGTGGGCATGAGAGGGGGATGTGTGGGCAAGCGACGGAGGGGTCCACAGCCCCACCAGACGCCACAAGCCCATCGGCAAAGTAGCGAGCGCCGATGATCTTCTTGCTGCAGCTCTTGAAGTCGCTGGTGGTCATGCACGTGCCTCTCCAGCGAGGGGGCACGAGGGGATAGCCCTACAGAAGGAGAGAGAGGAAGAAAGGAGGGAAGAGGAGGGGAGAGGGGGAAAGGAGCGGGTGAAGCACCGCGCGCCAATGATCTTCCTGCTGCAGCAATTGAAGTCGCTGGAAAATGTCAGAGGAGGTGCATGTGCCTCGCCAGCCATGGCGTACTGGCGGATAGCCCTGTTGTGTGCGGGAATGGGAGGGAGGAATGGGGTAGGGGGATAGCCCTGCGAGGGGGAATGGGGAGAGTATGGGGAGAGTATGGGGAGAGTATGGGGAGAGTATGGGGAGAGTATGGGGAGAGTATGGGGAGAGTATGGGGAGAGTATGGGGAGAGTATGGGGAGAGTATGGGGAGAGTATGGGGAGAGTATGGGAGTGCGAAAATACGGGGAGTATGGATGGCTAGATTCCTGTATCCACGATCCCAATTATCATGCCCCATAACCGCACACCCTCTCTCCGTGTTACCATGTTACCACATTACCATATTAGCCATGTTATCCATGTCACCACACACTCACACGCACACACACTCACACACCTTATCACTGAAGCTGGGGTGCTCGGGCCAGATACCCGTATCCACGATCCCGATGATCATGCCCATAACGCCACATGCACCCCATGTTACCATGTTACCAGGTTACACAGAGGCAAACACATGTGCACACACACACCTTGTCACTGAAGCTGGGGTGCTCGGGCCAAATGCCCGTATCCACAACCCAATGATCATACTCCATAGCACTCCCCCCTCCCCCCCCCCCTCCCCCCCCCCCCTTTCATGTTACAACGTTACCACACACACATGCATACCTTATCGCTGAAGCTGGGGTGCTCGGGCCAGATACCCGTATCCACGATCCCGATGATCATACTCCATAGCGGCATATCACCAGGTTACCAGGTTACCAGGTTACCAGGTTACCAGGTTACCAGGTCACCAGGTTATGACATCACCAAAGGCACGAATGCATACCTTGTCGCTGAAGCTGGGGTGCTCGAGCCAGATGCCAGTATCCACGATCCCAATAATCATGCCCCATAAGAGCACACACATGCTCCCCATGTGTGCCATGTTGCCACGTTACCATGTTACCACGTTACCATGTTACTGCACACACATGCATACATACCTTATCGCTGAAGCTGGGGTGCTCGGGCCAGATACCCGTATCCACGATCCCAATGATCATGCCATTGCCTGCCTTGCTCCTCCCGCCCACGCTCGGCCACACACCCGAGGGCAGCTGCAGGAACTGCGGCGTGTGAATGGTTTGAACTGTGACCGTCTGGCATCGCTCCACTTTCAGCACCGACTCGTGCCGCTGCAAGCGGTGGGCCTCTAAACGGGTCAGTTTGACACTCACTCCGTTCAGCACGTAGCGGTAGCTGTTTTGCACACGGGGAAAAGGAGGGGATATGGAGGGAGGGGAGGGGAGCGGAGGGCGCGAGGAGGCAAGGGTGAGAGAGGCCACACGACACGAGCTACACACCACTCGGCCACACGCGCAAGGGCAGCTGCAGGAACTGCGGCGAGTGGATCGCTCCACATGCAATCCTGACTCGTGCCGTTGCAAGCGGTGGGCTTCGGAGGGGGTCACTTTGAAGGGGTGAGGATGGGAAGGGGAGGTGGGAAGAGGGGAGGATGAGAAGGGGGGAAAGGAAGCGGGGTACGAGGACAGGGAGAGGGGAGAGGCGCTGCAAACGATGGCCTTGAGGGTACCGTGCCTTGGGAATACCGAGCCTTGGGACTACCGTGCTTTGGGAATACCGAGCCTTGAGGGTACCGTGCCTTGGGAACACTGAGCCCTGGGAATACCGAACCTTGGGACTACCCACCTGTGCACGATGCGATTCTTGGGAATACCGACGGCCTGCAGCATGTGCTGCTACACGCCCCCCACGAACAAAGCAAGCAGCGTTCAGAGCCAGCAGCCTCAAACCATTGCCTTCTCCTCACCCTCCCACCTTGCCTCGCGACGCTGACCTTGGGAATACCAAGTCTTGGGAATACCGACCTGTGCACGATGCGGCCCTTGGGAATACCGACCTGTGCACGATGCGGCCCTTGGGAATACCGGCGGTCTGCAGCATGTGCTGCTGCACGCCCCGCACAAACAGCGCGAACGCCCCTCTCGTGCCCCGTCAACATCCCACCTTCCCTCCTCCCGCCCCTCACCTATGCACGATGCGATTCTTGGGAATACCGACGGCCTGCAGCATGTGCTGCTGCACGCCCCCCACGAACTGCGCGAACGCGCGCACGTCGCTCTCGCGCTCGTCCGCGCGCCTGCTGCCGCGCGGCCCGTCCAGCGCCCCCATCGCCTGCACCGCCGCCGCCGCCGCCGCTGCTCTGCCTGCTGCTGCCCTTGATCTTACTCCTCTTCCTCCTCCTGCTCCTCCTTCTCCCACTACTCCTGCTCCTGCTGTTGCTATTGATGCCACTGAAGCGTTTACTAGTCCCCTTATCGCTTCTCCTGCGCTGCTTGCGCTTGCGATCCTTCCGCCTGCGCCAGCAGCACCACCTGTAGCATACGGAGCCCCTGTAGCATCCGAATCATATCCAGCCTCATAGCTTTCCACGTCATCATCATCATCTGTAGCGGCTGTAGCAGCGGAGGCAGTGAGACCATCGCTGGTAGCAGGAGCTGCTGTAGCAGCAAATCCAGGGATGCCGCCCTTATAGTCTATAACGGACGGCACGTTTCTGAAATACACGATATAGAGTTCCTCGCCACTGGGTCGTCTAGTTGACCCAGACAAACCTGCCGTTGCTGTAGCAGCGGCGGTTGTAGCTGCTGACGTGGCAGCAGATAGTGAAGCGGATTTCTCTGGTTGCCGTCCGGGCACTTCAGACAGTCGGGGCCCCGCTATAGTCACCACTGGTAGCGCGTCCTTGTTATCGTCCGCCCCGTTATTGCGTTGCCCGTTTTGGAAGGGTGAAGCGGAAGCAGCTGCGGCGGAAGCATCGGCGGAAGAGTTCGGAGGAGGGGGCGCGGGGGTGGCGGGGAAGAGATATTGCGCGGATGCTGCCGAGGGGCGCGGGTAGGGGAAGAGCGGAGGGGAGGGAGAGAGCGTGGAGGGGAGGGGAGACAAGGAAAAGGTGAGGAGAGGGAGGGAAGAAGGGGGGAGATAATCATAATAATAAACGGGGGTCGGAGGAAGGAGGCAAGGGGGGGATGGGGGACGAGTGATAAGACGCGCGCGCGGAAGCGAGCGGGGCGGTAGGCGGGGGTAGAGACGAAGTGATCGGAAGCGCTTGGGGAGGTGGGGGGAGTGAGGGTAGGCGTTTTAGGGGGGGACAAGGCGCGCGCGGGGGGTGAAGAGGGCGCAAGCGCACCTGGGGGAGTTGCGGAAAGAGCGGCGATGAGGGCAAGGAGCGCAACGGTCCCGGGGCAGCAAGCGCGTTGGTTAATAACGGAGCCGCGCCAGTCCCTGCGGCGGTTCATGGAACCGCGGCAGCGCGCCATTTGGCCTGCCTACAGTCAACCCCGCAACAATTATGAGTCGCTACAATTACGAGAGTCCAACCTCGCTACAGTCACACGAGCCCTGGAATTCTTATCAATACCCGATCAGTGTACTCCCGGTGAGGACATCATGCAAACGCGAATCTGATTACAACGAGGACTCCTGACGAGATCGCTGACCAGGAATGATAACAAACCGAGCGAGGACTCGTCGCAAAAGACGCGGTCTTTGCCGCCTTGGCGAATTATATTATAACACGTCGTTCGGAGCGCGGGTACCAGTGCCAGCTGGATACTGATCACTTGGAGCTATCGACTTGTTAAAAGGGCCTCACGCTACTTGTTTATATTTCTAGATACTAGGGATGTGCGCCTAACAACGTCGCGCCACAAGGTGCGGGTATGTACGGCTTGGCGAAGGTGTGATCGATATGTCGTGCGTACCGCGAATCACGGCGCGAGCGGCGCTCTCGAAGGCTACGGTAAAGCAACGGATACGCGACGGGAAGCAGAGCGATAAGCAAACGAGTCGATGTTAGAACATGCGTACTCTCCTTGGATTGAGAAACCTAGCACGAATCTGCTTGGACATCGAAGAAAGGATGGCTGTGTGCCGCTCGATTTCCCACCCCACAACCACTAGGGTAAGAAACGCCAGTGAGAGCCCCACCACTACGTCCTGTACAGTACGCGCTAAGATGCTGTCAATGAAAAATCGCTAATCTCCTCGGTTAGTGCAAACTGGAAGAAGCCTAGATCCCCCACGCACACGATCCTGCACCACAATCGGCGTTCTCTGCGGAGCCACGATGCGGGGAGGCAGGGGAGATGAGACGGCCCTGTCGATCTCTGAATGGCTATCGCGCCCCGATGTTCCCCACCACAACTATGCTTGGGGCCCCTGGAGAATCATGCAGCAAAGGGATGGATTAACTGGGGGGATATGGTGGACAGGAGAGATGTCGGTGTTTGGGTGCCTCCATTCGGTTGCTGCAGACAGCCATGGCTTTCGTTCATTCACGTGCTTCTGGGAACAAGAGAAAAAGCTCAAGGAAATGGAATCTCAAAAGGTTCATTGAGTTTCAGAGCGATACGCTTATCGTTTGTAGTGGTTGTTGAATGTCCTGAGCTTGGATTCTCCTCAGCATGGAGGTGCTTGCGACGCTCGCAACCTCCACATTCTTCGCAAGCGTCGCAAAGCAGTTCTCATCCTCCACGGTTGATGAGACCATAAGGGGCATGGCTGCCTGTGCGACCGCTGGCGTGGCCTGGGCGACCCGTGGCTGTGGCACGAAGTTTGCGGCGATACGAAATTTCCAAATTTGGCTGCAGCTTCGGCACCACGGCGCGACAACCGCCAAAATCAGCTGCAGTTGCTGTAACCTTCCCGAGCAAGGGCAGGGTGCAAGGTTTCTGTCCCGCCCTTGGAAACCGGTCTACAATATTCGAACACCTGTGTTCAGTGCTTCCGCAAGAAATGGAAGAAACAAGAGGAATGAGAACAGCACGCGATTACGGTTTTCGTTTTCGCACTGCAAGAGGCGCTCAAAACTTTCGCATAATTTCGGCGTCACGGGACAGGAGAAAGCAACGCGAGACGCTTCGTCTCCAACCTCCCCACCTCCACACAAAACCGACTGGCTTGAACATGTTTCGAAATTCGGCAGTGCTCAAGCAATCATGGCTAGCCACGTTGCCTAGCGCTCCGCGCGCTCGGGTGAGGAACACAGCCTGTTCGGTGACCGTTGAACAAGCGAAAATCAATATAAGCTGTACACGGCACACCTTCACTGTACCGAACGAGTACATTCACAGTATCAGTGGAACTACATACTCTCATCCTTTAAGAATGTGACACTTCTATGGCATGAGCTTACAATACCTGCAATACCACAGTACCCACCTCACCCACAACGAACTAAGCCACTACCAGTACACATGTGTGCAGGATATCCAACATGCTACAAGACTGTTAAATTTTGGTCACAGTCGTCCATCCACCACACCAATATTTCACATCCAATCAACCACATATCCGTACACCTGCTTCTGCCTACCTTAGATTGCTTAACCCACAATCAGAGCTTGTTTTCTAGTCTGCCGCCCGCAGCAATCATCTCCTGTCCCTCGTCAGCCCTTCCCAATCGAATCAGTGCAGCGGCTACTAGGTAGGTTGCCTCGGGCCACGGGGGTTTTGACTGCTGGGCCTGGGAGGGAGAGGGAGGACATGAACAAAAGAGCAATATGGAAGTGAGCATGATAATGTGATGCTGCATGTACGGCCACTAGGTAGGTTGCCTCGGGCCACGCAGGTTTGGAGTGCTGGGCCTGGGAGAGAGAGGGACGAAAGGGGAGAGAACAAGGGAGAGTGGGATGGAAAGGTACTACCGTATGCCGCATATGCTGCACGACCTGCATCTGTGGTCATGAGGAAAAGGCTTCCCACGGGGCGTAAGCATTTGGTGGATTTTTTTAACTGGAGGGGGGGTGGGGTGGTACCCACCCAAATCGGCCATGGCATCCTGAGCCCAACCATAAGAACAGAAACAGAAAGTGGGCAGAAAAAAAAAAAAAAAAAAAAAAAAAAAAAAGAGAGGAATGATTACGAGAGTGGATGAGGAAACCAATCAAGACAATGGTTGCGATACACCTCCTTGCTTAATGCAGCTGTCTTGCCCTTAACTGCATGTCTATTGGTCCTTATCTGTCGGAATGTCTTGTCCTTTACCTGGATGGCAGGGCTTGTCTGTACCTGCAGGGCGTCCTGGTAAGCTTCTTCCCAGTGCCCCAGTTGCAAATGGGACAAGCAACGCCGTGCAAACAGCATGGGGATAGGGGGAGAGTCGCACTTGAGGAACTGTAAGGGGAGAGCAGAACGCAGGGGTGGAGAGGGGTGGCACGCAGGGAAAGAGGGGTGGAAAGAGGTGGCATGAAGAGCAGGATGGGTGGAGGGAATGAATGTCATGCACAAAAGGGAGAAAGTGAGAAGGCGTCAGAAGTGAGATGTGATACTCAAGTACAACTTCCTCCCTTTATAATCACAACCACCTTGAAGTAGTACCCAATCGCCTCGTCTCACGGCTTGCTGTTGCACACTTTTTCTCTTCATAACCACCTTGATGTCGAGAAAAAGAACCCTTTTCAGCTTACCTTGGTGTAGAGAGCAATCGGCTCTTCCCACTGCTGGCTCTCGCCAGATATCTCCCATTTTCCCACTTCTGTTCGCCCTTTATTATCACCTTGGTGTAGAGATGAATCGCCTTCATAATCACCTTGGTGTAAAGAGAAATCCCTTCAAAAACACCTTGGTGCTGTAGACAGGAATCGCCTCATCCCACTGCTGGCTTAGACATCCCCCTCCTTCACTCTCCCACTCCCCCACATCCCCTTCACCTCCTTTTTATCACCTTGGTGTAGAGAGCAATCGCCTCTTCCCACTGCTGGCTCTTGAACGCCTTGTCTCCCCTCTGCCTGGACGGCACCAGGTCCTGTATCTCGGCATTCCAGACCTCAAACGATGGCTGGGGGGGGAAGCAGCGCAGCAGGGGGGGACACAGGGGGGGACACAGGGGGGCAAAGGCGCACAAGAGTTGTCAGAAGGCCCTGTCTCCCCTCTGCCTGGACGACACCAGGTCTTGAACCTTAGTGTTCCACTCCACACCTCAAAGGACGGCTAGAGGGGGGATGGATGAAGGAGGGAGGGAGCAAGAGGCGCAGAAGAGAGAGTGGGAGATGGATCACGTGGGTCTGTCTGTCTCCCCTCCCCTCTGCCTGGACAACACCAGGCCTTGCCCCTTAGTGTTCCACTCCACACCTCAAAGGATGGCTGGAGGGAGAAGAGAGAGGGCAGAGGACGGCTGGAGGGGGAAGAAAGAGGACAGAGGACAGAGAGGCGAGGAGCAAAAGGGGAGATATGCGAGGAGAGAGAGGGAAGGGAATGAGTTTTGACCAGAAGACAGACTCATGCTATGCTGTTTTGAGATTTGAGACACCTCAACAAAACTCATGCTATGCGACACAATGCAGCGCTCTCTCTCACCTCCTGTGGCGGAGTGAACAACACAGTGACCAGCCTCCGATGCAGCACCTCCCAGTCCCCCCAGCCATGGCAACACAGGACGCCTTGTCACGCATGTCAAAACGAAGGGGAACAACCACTTACCTCCTGTGGCGGAGTGAACGCCACAGTGACCAGCCTCCGATGCAGCACCTCCCAGTCCCCTTCCATGGCCGCACGAGGCAACTTGATGCAGCCTTCCTCAGGAGGGGAACAGACACATAGGACACACTGCAGTGCAATGCTCTCTCTCACCTCCTGCGGTGGTGTGAAGGACACAGTTACCAGCCTCCGATGTAACACCTCCCAGTCCCCTTCCATGGCTGCACGGGCCAACGCTGATGCTGCAGCAGCAGCTGCTGCAGCAGGAGCGCCGCCCCCCTCCCTCTCCTCTCCATCCTCCGCAAGGCCAAGTGAATTGCCGATGCCCTGATTGGGGGATGAGGAACAGGTGGCACAGAGAAGTTTGGAACGGTACAGAGCGGTACACAGCAGCAGGAGCGTCGCCCCCCTCCCTCTCCTCTCCATCCTCCGCAAGGCCAAGTGAATTGCCGATGCCCTGACAGGGAGATGAGGAACAGGTGGCACAGAGAAGTACAGAGCGGTACAGAGGGGTACAGAGTGGTGGTAAGCGCAGAGTCATTCGCTATAGCAGCATAGGCCAACGTCGAGGCTGCAGCAGCCGTAGCAGCAGGAGAAGGAGCGTCGCCCCCCTCCCTCTCCTCTCCATCTCCCGCAAGGCCAGGTGAACCACTGATGCCCTGCCAGGAGGGGATGAGGAACATGCGGCATGGAGCAGTGCAGAGCAGTAGGGAGAGGTGGTGAGAGAGCGGTCATTTCGCATTTTACAGACGAGAAGCGCTGATACAGAAGCATGAGCAGAAGAGCCGGCCCCCTCCGTCTCCTCGCCCTCTCCCGCAAGGCCGAGTGAACCCCCATTGGCCTGACAGGGAGAATGGGGAAGAGGCGGTAGAGTGAAGTACAGAGAGGTACAGGGTGGTGGTAAGAGCAGAGTCATTCACTTCAATATCACAGCCATCTCAGTAGCAGCAAAACTCATACCACTCAGCACCACTCAACGTTACTCCACACCACTCAGTACCGCTCTGAACGCCCCCCCCGCTCACCCTGCCGCGGTCGTCCAGTATCCCAAGGAACTCTGCAATGCTGACCATGGGGGGGTGATCCGCCGGATCCTTCTTCAGACACTCAGCAATCAGCACCACGAGCTCACTGTTATGTACCAGTAATACCGCTCTCAACCGCACACAGAACCGCATTGCATCGGTCCGAGCCCCTCACCTCCCCACTCACCCTGATGCAGTCGTCCAGTATCCCAAGGAACTCTGCAATGCTGACCACGGGGGGGCGATCCGCCGGATCCTTCTCCAGACACTCGGCAACGAGTGGGACGAGCTCATCGTTATGCACCGCTCTACACCGCACACAGAACCGCCTTAAACCGTTTGGAACCCCCACTCACCCTGCTGCGGTCGTCCAGTATCCCTCTGCAATGCTGACCATGGGGGGCAACTCCCCCGGGTCTTTCTTGCAACACTCGGCAATCAGCGGCACGGGCTCATCGTTATGTACTAGTCTAGTACCGCTCTAAATCGCACAGAGAACCGCATTGCACTGCTCTGCACCCCCACTCACCCTGCTGCGGTCGTCCAGTATCCCAAGGAACTCTGCAATGCTGTCCATGGGGGGCCGCTCCCCCGGGTCCTTCTTGAGACACTCGGCAATGAGCGGCACGAGCTCGAGGGCGAAATCAACGCTTGGTGCGTGGGAGAGGAGGTTGCTGTCTAGCAGGAGGGATAGGTCCTGCTTCTCCTCCACCATCTCCAGGAACTGGGAGGGGGGGAGGGAGTAGAGGAGTAGAAAAGAGGATTGAGTGACAGGGGGTGAGAGGAGGCAAAGAGCGGCATGAGCTCGAGGGCGAAATCAACGCTTGGTGCGTGGGAGAGGAGATTGCTGTCGAGCAGGAGGGATAGATCCTGCTTCTCCTCCACCATCTCCAGGAACTGATGGGGTGAGGAGGCGGGAGGAGAGGGGAAGAAGGGGCAGTGAGGGGGGCTCGAGCAATCGTCAAACTGAGGAGTGCATGAGGCAGGCTGCTGTGGAGCAGCAGGAGGGATAGGTCCTGCTTCTCCTCCACCAACTCTAGGAACTGATGGGGTGAATGAAAGGGAGGTGGGAAGAAGAAGGGGAGTTGAGAAGAGGAGGCAAAGTGAGAAAGTGGAGTCGTGGTGTTAAGAGGCCATGCATGAGTGGCCCAAGCTCGAAGGCGAATTTGACGCTTGGGGCGCGGGAGAGAAGGTTGCTGTCGGAGGAGAGATAGGTCCTGTTTCTCCTCCACCATCTCTAGGAACTGGTGTGGGAGGAGGCAGTGGGGGTGGGGAGAGGAGGAGAAGAGGAATAGAGACGAGGATTGAGCGCAAGGAGAGGTGATGGGATGAGGGGCACGAGCTCTAAGGTGAGCTCGACGCGTGGGGGATGGGAGAGCAAGTTGCTGTCTAGCAGGAGAAGGGGAAGGAGAAGATGGAGAAGGAGAGGGAGAAAGAACTGATGGGGTGAAGGAAGGGGGAAAAGGGGAGAGGGAGAGGGGAGGGATCTGTGTGGACTGAACCCTCACACACACACACACACACACACACACACACACACACACACACACACACACACACACACCTACTTACCTGTGTGGGACGAATACTCTTGCCGCTAAAGAGGGCCAGAAGGATGAGTCCAAAGCTGTATACCACACTCTCTGCTGTCACCCGCCCTGCAAAGCAATCACATGACCAGGAGTGGCAAGGAGTGACGGTGAATAACAAGGTGTGAGAAGGAGTCACAAGGAGTGAGAGCGTGTGTCAGGAATGATAAGGTGTCACACGATGCAACTCGCATGGAGGGAGAATGCCAGCACACGTTACAAAAGGGACGTTTGCACTGACTCGCCCGCACTGCAGAAGTCACCTCACCATGTAGCAGCTGCTCCGGAGGTAAGTAGTCAAGATTGGAACTGTAGCGACCGTCCTTAAGAGGCTTGATGAGGCCGAAACATGAGAGCTTGGGTTCGTTGTCCTGCAATCATAAATGATACACACGAACAAATCATGAATGATCAAATCGGCAAATATAAGGGGTCAGGGATCAGGAGGAAGGCGAACTGGGTTTGGAGACCCTTCTCTTACGCACCCGATTTTCTTAGAAACGATGAACCTATAAAGTAGTACTCAGCTGCCATCATAAGAATCTTATCTTGTCTAAGCAGCAATCATCAAGGGCTGCTGAATCCATGGCACATACTCACCACGAGCGTGCCTTGATGACGTTGCAGGATGTTTTTGAGAATTCTCAAAAGTACCCTAGAATGTTGTTTTGTCTGAGAAATCATTAAGGGCTGCTGAATCCATGGCACATACACACACAGGGCGTGCCTTTTCATCCCCCCAGATGCACGAGCATGCAAAAAGGAAGAACCACTCAGCACTTATACTCGTTATAAGTGTTAAGATTGTAAAACTGAATCATTAGCTTGATTAGAAAGTGAACAAGCATACATAGGTTTGGGAAGAGAAGGTTGGAAGGGAAAGGAGGGAGGTGGGATTGGGGGAGTGGGCCAACCTATGGCCCATTGGGTTGGGTTGACCACACTTGGGGAAGTGGGCCAACCTATGGCCCATTGGGTTGGGTTGACCACACTTGGGAAGTGGGGCAACCTATGGCCCAAGGGTTGGGTTGGCCTCACTTTGTGAAGTGGGGTACCCTATGGCCCATAGGGTTGCATTTGGGGGCTCCACCACAATTGGGTTGGATTGGCACCCCAAAATGCAAGACTACACCCAAAGTTGGGTGTAGTCCTAACTCAACTGTACACCACAATTGGTGTACAGTCACAAGTGTTAGCATGCTAGAACATAGGAATTCTAACAATAAAACTGTCACTCACCTTATCCAGCAGCACTTTGTAAGGGTTGAGGTCATGATACACAGGCATTCCCTTCTCCTCCCAGATGCTCGAGCACACGCAATGGGAGCGAGCATGAGATACATACACAGGGATAACCACCTTATGGGGCAACACTTTGTACTCGTTATAAGAGACTCTCTCACCTTATCCAGCAGCACTTTGTAAGGGTTGAGGTCATGATACACAGGCATTCCCTTCTCCTCCCAGATGCTCGAGCACACGCAATGGGAGTGAGCATGAGATACAGACACAGGGATAACCACTTTATGGGGCAACACTTTGTACTCGTTATAAGAGACTCTCTCACCTTATCCAGCAGCACTTTGTAAGGGTTGAGGTCATGATACACAGGCATTCCCTTCTCCTCCCAGATGCTCGAGCACACGCAATGGGAGTGAGCATGAGATACAGACACAGGGATAACCACTTTATGGGGCAACACTTTGTACTCGTTATAAGAGACTCTCTCACCTTATCCAGCAGCACTTTGTAAGGATTGAGGTCATGATACACAGGCATTCCCTCCTCCCTCCCCAGATGCTCCAGTGCTTGAGCCACACGCATGGCCACTGCCAGCCGTGCCAGCCAGGACATGGGGCGCTGCTCCCCTGGGAAGGATTTGAATGCGGTGGGGAGGAGTGTGAATGTGGTGAGGGGAATGTGAATGTGGTGAGGGGAATGTGAATGCGGTGAGGGGAATGTGAATGCGGTGGGAGGAGTGTGACTGTGCATGCACTCCCAACCCAGATGCTCAGGTCGAGTGCTTGAGCCACATGCATGGCCACTGCCCACCGTGCTAGCCAGGACATGGGGCGCTGCTCTCCTTAGAGAGGAAGAATAGAATTAGTAGCGATCTAGACTCTTAGTAGGCTTGCAGCGGTTCGAATCCATTTTTTCTCAACCAGGACATGGGGCGCTGCTCTCCTTAGAGAGAGGAGAGTCATCACATCCCAAAGAAGGACAAGGGGGGGGGGATGGGGGAGCTCAAAGGGGAAAGATGTTGTGAAGGGGAACATGTTGTGAAGGGGAACATGGTGTGAAGGGGAACATGGTGTGAAGGGGAACATGTTGTGATGTGAAGGGGAACATGTTGTGATGTGAAGGGGAACATGTTGTGATGTGAAGGGGAACATGTTGTGATGTGAAGGGGAACATGTTGTGATGTGAAGGGGAACATGTTGTGATGTGAAGGGGAACATGTTGTGATGTGAAGGGGAACATGTTGTGATGTGAAGGGGAACATGGTGTTGGCCCTCGGCTTCCCATTGAGGTGATGGCCCTCCTCACCTCACAACAGAAGCCGTTTCACTCGACATACAGCGCTCTCACCCAAATAGTTGAAATGCCAAGATTAGATGCTGTCTTACAGTGGAACAGGTGCTGTGCGAGAGTGCAGTTGGGCATGAAATCAGAGACCAGCAGCCCGTGCTCAGCCCTCCCTCACAGAAGAATCCCAGCAGCTCGGTCTGGCAGCGGCGGCTGACACTCACACTAGAGACGACACTCACACTGAAGACAACAGAGCACAGCTAGGCAGCGCACAGCCCCTCTTACAGTGGAATAAGTGCTGTGCCAACGTGCAGTTGGGCATGAAGTCAGACATCAGCAGCCAGTGCTTGCTCGCCTTCACAGCAGAATCCCAGCAGCTCCCCCTGGCAACCACCAATGACTTACACCAGAGACAACAGTCACAGAGACGACAGCAGCGCACAGCCCCTCTTACAGTGGAATAAGTGCTGTGCCAGCGTGCAGTTGGGCATGACGTCAGACACGAGCAGCCGGTGCTCGCCCTCCCAGTCACATAGACAACCTTGTAACTGCAGCACTGAGTGAGTGACTGCTGTTACTGGGACTTACAGTGGAATAAGTGCTGTGCCAGCGTGCAGTTGGGCATGAAGTCGGACACGAGCAGCCGGTGCTCGCCCTCACAGCACAGCAGAAGCCCAGCAGCTCCCCCTGGCAATCACCAATGACTTACACCAGAGACAACAGTCACAGAGACGACAGCAGCGCACAGCCCCTCTTACAGTGGAACAAGTGTTGGGCGAGGGTGCAGTTGGGCATGAATTCAGACACCAGCAGCCGGTGCTCGCCCTCACAGCAGAAACCCAGCAGCGATGTGAGCCCCGGGTAGCGAATGCTGCCTACTGCCGTGGCGTCTGCCTGTTGAGTAAGCGGTGGTTTGGGTAAACAGCAGGGTAAGGGACCAAGAAGAAGCCCAGCAGCGATGTGAGCCCCGGGTAGCGAATGCTGCCTACTGCCGTGGCGTCTGCCTGTTGAGTAAGCGGTGGTTTGGGTAAACAGCAGGGTAAGGGACCAAGAAGAAACCCAGCAGCGATGTGAGCCCCGGGTAGCGAATGCTGCCCACTGCCGTGGCGTCTGCCTGTTGGGTGTGCGGTGGAGTGGAGGGAAGACAGAAGAGAAGGCGTCTTGTGTGTGTGGAGGGTGCAGGGAAGAAGGGATTTCAACAAGAGAGGAAGGCAGAAGCCCAGCAGCGATGTGAGCCCCGGATAGCGAATGCTGCCCACTGCCGTGGCGTCTGCCTGTTGGGTGTGCGGTGGAGTGGAGGGAAGACAGAAGAGAAGGCGTCTTGTGTGTGTGGAGGGTGCAGGGAAGAAGGGATTTCAACAAGAGAGGAAGGCAGAAGCCCAGCAGCGATGTGAGCCCCGGGTAGCGAATGCTGCCCACTGCCGTGGCGTCTGCCTGTTGCATGGTAGGAGCAGGGAAGTGGGAAGAGGAAAACATGTAATGTGGTTGCGAAAGGGATATGCTGGTGCATTGCAGCAAAACCCGCTGCCAGCGCAATTTGGTGGAGTTTAAAGTGAGAGGTCACAGTCACAACTCAGAATGCCTCTTGAGTTGGCTTCGTTTATAGTCTATTAGAAAATCGTCACAGGTCACACTCGCTACTCACGATGACTCTCTTGAGCCAACGGAAAAGTGCAGGACAGTTACAACTAAGTACCATTCACTTCACTGTGACTTGTGGCAGAAATCAAAAGACGCTGTCCTTCCTCTGCCTCTCATTTTAAAAAAACCACATAAGCCACTCACAGCGAACTGCTGTGCGTCCTCCCACTCCTTCTGGAACCGCTTCACTGCCACTTGCAGCCCTTCCGGCCCCAGCACTCCCAAATACGCTACATACAGCAAACCTTCTCTATCTCTTCTCTACCGTAAGCCACTCACCGCGAACTGCTGTGCGTCCTCCCACTCCTTCTTCTGGAACCGCTTCACTGCCACTTGCAGCCCTTCCGGCCCCAGCACCCCCCGGTACACCACGTTCAGTGCCTGCCTCCCGCCCTCTGATACCACGTTCTTCTCACTGGGGGGGAAAGGAAGGGGAAGGGCAAGGGGCAATGTGGGGTGAGATGGTGGGGGAAGAAGTCAGGAGGAGGGACTGTCAGGCCATGCAACCCCTTCTTCCGCAGCACCCCTCGGTACACCACGTTCAGTGCCTGCCTGCCCCGCTCTGATACCACGTTTTTCTCACTGGGGGAGTGGGCAGGAGGAACAAGAGGCAGGCAAGGTGGGGGTTGAGATGGTGGGGGAGAGAGTGAGGAGAGGAGTGTCAGGCCGTACAGCCCCCTCTGCTCTGCCCCCAGCACCCCCCGGTACACCACGTTCAGCGCCTGCCTCCCTCCCTCCGATACCACATTCTTCTCACAGGGGGGTGTAAGGAAGGGAGGGAAGGAAAACAAGAGGAGTGCTATGAGAAGCCCAGTACAAACCAAAAGGAACTCTTTGTGTCCCCAGCACCCCCTGGCACATCACGTTCAGCGCCTGCCTCTGATACCACGTTCTTCTTCTTCCCTTCCCACTGAGGGGAGTAAGGAAAGGGGGGAAAGGAGCACAAGAGCGGCGCTATGAAAAGCCCCGTACAGACAGACCAAAGGCAACTCGTGTGCCCCCAGCACCCCCGGTACATCACGTTCAGAGCCTGCCTGCCTCCCACCCCATCAGGTTACACATTCTAGTACCTGCCATCAGCTCCTCCAGTGCGATTCGCCTGGCAGCAATCTTATACCGCTTACACGTGAAATGAGGGTGTTTTCGAGACGTCTCAAAAAAACCCACATTTCACGTGCAACATGAATTCAAACTCAACCGACCTCAAACATTTTGGTGGCTGCCATCAGCTCCTCCTGTGCCATTCGCCTGTCAGGCACTGCAGCAGTTGTATAACGCGTACAGAGTGCAGCCCAATGCAATATTCAACTAACCTAAAATTGTTTGTAGCTGCCATCAGCTCCTCCAGTGCCATTCGTCGAAACTCAGGGCCTGCTGCTGCCTTGCCACTGCCGTTACCACCGCCAGTGCCACCGCCACTGGTGTTGTTGTTCCTGCTGCTGTCGCTACTGTTGTAAGCTGGTGCTGCTGACGATTCTGTTGCTGTATCTTGCTGGGGCTGTGCCTGTGGCTGTATTTGCATTAGGGGTTGTGACGCTGCTGGTCCTGCTGCGGATCAGGGTGGGAGGTCAGGATTGGATGGGTGGGGGCGAAGCAAGGCACGAGGTTGATGACGGAGATGGATGGGAGGAAAAAAGGCATGGGGGGGAATCATGGGAGTGCGGGCAAGAGAAGGGAGAGGGGGAGGGGGGGGAGGGTGGAGGAGACACTGGGTGGGCAGGGGGAGAGTGATAGGGGAAAGGCAGGGTGGGCTGGCAGGGTGGTGGAAGAAAATAGCAGTGGCAGGGGGGGAGAGGGGAGAATCAGGATGGGCATGCGGGATGGTGAGGGAGAAGCACTGAAGCAGTGCGGGCAAGGGGGGAAGAAGCGGATTGGGAAAGAGTGGGGGGGACGCAATGTGGGCAGGGGGGTTGGTGGGGGGGGGGGGCAATGTGAGCAGGGACGCAATGTAAGCAGGGGGAGTGGTGGGGGGGACGCAATGTGAGCAGGGGGAGTGGTGGGGGAGACGCAATGTGAGCAGGGGGAGTGGTGGGGGGGACGCAATGTGAGCAGGGGGAGTCGTGGGGGGGATGCAATGTGAGTAGGGGGAGTGGTGGGGGGGACGCAATGTGAGCAGGGGGAATGGTTGGGGGGACGCAATGTGAGCAGGGGGAGTGGTGGGGGGACGCAATGTGAGCAGAGGGAGTGGTGGGGGGGACGCAATGTGAGCAGGGGGAGTGGTGGGGGGGACGCAATGTGAGCAGGGGGAGTGGTGGGGGGGATGCAATGTGAGCAGAGGGAGTGGTGGGGGGGACGCAATGTGAGCAGGGGGAATGGTTGGGGGGACGCAATGTGAGCAGGGGGAGTGGTGGGGGAGACGCAATGTGGGCAGGGGGAGAGGCTGTGATGCTGCTGTTTCGCATGCAGATGAAAATGGAAGGTCAAAATTGTCATGGGGACAAGCATGCGGGTGGGAATGGTGGTGAGTGTGATGTTTTTTATATGACAGATACCAAATGGGAGAAGGGGGAGAGGAGGGGGGGGGGGAGGGGGGGGGGGGGGAGAAAGGGGGAGTAATATATAAGACTTTCACAATTTGGCCTTAACCTGGTATGCCGTTACTTTCCGCCGCCCTGTCTCCATGTGCGGCCTGCTGTTGCTCGGATGGCTGGGCTTTCCCAGGCCCTTGATCCGTAAGTACAGCACCATCGGACGGTTGTCTCTGCTCGTCGGATTGTGGCTGTTCCTGCTGCCGCTTCTCTGCCACTGCTCCCTCCGCCTCCTGCTGTTGCTGCTGCTGCTGCTGGGACTGACCAGATTCGGGTTGTGCCTGCTGCCGCTGCTCTTCCCTTGATTTATTCTGCTCTCTCTCCCCCTCTTCCGCTTCCTTTTGGGCTTTAAAGCACACCGACCCCATAGCACCGATTCACGACTAACGGAAATAGCCCTGTGTGTGAATAACCTGGCACATTCTCGAGCGACGAGCTGGTTACCCTATGGTTTCGCACATGCCTTGACGAGCAGCGGGCTGGGTTACACTAGAGTTTCGCACGTGCCTGAACGGAAGGCAAGCTAGATCCTAGGGTTTCGCACAGGTCCCAAAGAAACTGCTCCTTTCGCCACACCCTGGGCCCGAGGGCCTGGAGTATTAAAAGAGACGTTGGAGCTAGCAGAACTAGCGACGCAGCAGGGTGAGCTGGGGGCCAGGTCAACTAAAGGGGCAGGTTAACTGGGGTGGCAGAAGGCTGGAGAGGCAGCAGTGGTCGATTTTTAAGAGACGCCTCAAAAGCAGAGGCAACGCGAGAGCGGGGATGGAGACGAATTAACACGTTCGGAATGCGGGGCTACGCAGTGTAGCGACGCAAGCGGGGCTTCAGAGTTACCACGGCCATAAGCTACTTCTTTGAGACCGTCTCGCGAGAGCGGAATGACTGAGGTAGATGACTCAGGATGACTGAGAGCGCAAACATAAGTTACTGGGATGAAATATTAAGGAGAAAAGGGTCCTCTAGGATACATTACACGGAAAATATCGGACCGCGAACGTTGGCCTGGTCTTGACGAGGAAGGCTTTTCCTCCACTCTTTTAGTTCTTTCGCTAAACGATTACAGTCGATGAGCTGCAGGCTTGAGAAGCAAGCTTCAAAAGGAAAACAGCCTAAGAACCAGTCCACTGGTCACAAGGGCTGATACAAGCGTATCACACGGACCTTTCTGGGAGAAGTAGTGCGGATGATGCGTGAATTGAGCCGCATCACACAAGATGGCTCTATAGAAGACGCAGTAAATAGTTCTGGCTGGATCATGGGTAAGTTACCAAGGCCCCTCAGAATCGGTCGTGCAAAGGGGCTAGACACGGCTCAGTAAGTTTCTGACTAATCTAGCGTGGTGCAGTCCGGTGGCGGTTCAATATTCTAGGCACTTCACCCTCGATGTTGCCGCTGAAGGTGGGTCTGCAACATGCTCTCCTGACTGTTCTTCCAGAAAGTGGGGTGAACCAGAGTATTTGTTTTGTTCACTTGTTTCGGTTGAGTACGATGGACTGCAATTTAGGACGGTGTCTCTACACCGCTTTGAAGCGCGACTCACCGTTCTTTGTGTATTTTGCCAAAACGACAATGTCAAGGTGTCCGATTGCGAGAGATGTCGTGCTTCGTAGAGAACTCGTCAACTCCAGCTAGGACGTGGTTTAGCACACCTTTGATAGCCTCGATTAAAGACAACCACAAATTCCTGGAACCCAGAAAGCTGATAAGTGGCAACGGGGGGTAATCATTGATCGCGATCAATTGATCTCCCCTACCTGATGAATCGCCTAGATCACCCCAATCAAGCACAATCAGCTACAATCAATAACGATCACCTGATTGCATGGGAGTGTGAAACGCCACCCGCAAAAAGTTAAAGTGTCGCGATAAACTCGTCTGCAATATTACAGGAAAACAATGCCTTCGCAGGATCTCGTCTGGTCCCCACTCTAGCCAAATTCAGGACAGGATTACCATATAATGGTGGCACGCTTACCATGTAGGAACCCCGAAATTTCTATTAATATGAGCCTTTATCGAGCGGCTCGAGCAATGCATCCTTTAGCAACCCGATCAGATCCAACCCACCCAAATCCGAGCGGATCAAAGGCTTGCTGGTCCGCATCCTTATAGCTAATGGAACAAGGTTATTGATTGGTCTAGGCCCTACCAGTGATTACAAAAAAAAAAAAAGTCCCAAAACCAAGCCCAAACCTTTTCAGGAAGCTGCCCCGTCTGGCCCTAAAATATTGAATCTGTATAACTATATCCTACCTACTTTATGTATCTGTGTGCACTACATAAGGGAAGATGGGAAATATGTTGCAATGTGGGGTGGGGATAAGGGACGTAAGCAGTCAAGGTGAATGAGGAGGAGGGAAGTATGGGGGTTGGGGGGAGGGGCACACATGTACGTGGGAAATCCGGGGGAGGCCCGAAACCCGTCAGTTAGCAATCCGGCCGAAGGGGGAAACCCATCTCTGAGGTAGGTCGAAACCAACCCTGAATTCTCAAGGAAAATATACGCGAACCCACAGACCTGGAGTGGAATCTTTGAGGAAGTGATCAAGGATGTAGATTTCGGGGCATTTTCCCTTAATGCTAAGAAAAAATCATCGTGGCAGGGGTATGCATGGCGGGTTTTGATAGGCATGTTTCGGAGGGAGCCCGGAAACGTGAAGTTTTAATACTGTGACCTTCCCATATTTTTTCCGTGCCTTCTATGAAACCCCGAAAATAGACAAAGACTAGGCTATTTTCCCCGTCCCCAAGTCTCACTCAATTGTGATCACCCATTCCCCCGTTATGTCCTATATTGGTATTCATCTTTGATTATAGGTTCTACGAGGGTGTTGCGGCTTCTTTTCTCTAACATTCATGACTTTTAGCTCTAGTGTTTAGGTTGTAAATTTTGCATTGCCTTTAATATTTTGGTTGTAGGCTTTGCATTGCCTTTTGTTTGAAGGCTGTAGACTTTGCATGTCATAAGGCTTCATCTGTAGGGTAAAGTGCAGTGGATATAAACCCTAATGTAAAGTTCGCAACCGAGACACAATTAGGCCAGAGATTAGGCTCAACCCGGTAACATTCATGTGTATTTCCGTCAGACCTTCGGATTTGTCCGAGCGGTCCCAGGAGGTAGGTGTCAAACTTATATGCTATAGTCTGTTTAGGCTGTAGTGGGGTAGTCCTTACAGGGTACAACACTTTTAGGTTTCCTATATGTACCCACCTGCTTTCTAGTTCAGTCATTCATTCGCTCACATTCTGACATGGTATTCTGAGCAGGTTCCGTAGTGGGAACGTTTTTTTTGGGCCCACCACGATTTTTTTTCCTGCCCTGCCCGAAGCGCGCCTCGCGCCTGTTTCAAATGCGCTGTCGCGCGCCCTGCCCTTGTGCCGCCCGTCGCGGCCCTGCCTTAGAGGCCCGTCGCGGCACTGCCTTAGAGGCCCGTCGCGGCCCTACCCTAGTGCCGCCCGTCGCGGCCCTGCCTTAGAGGCCCGTCGCGGCCCTACCCTAGTGCCGCCCCTTGCGGCTCTGCCTTAGAGGCCCGTCGAGGCCCTGCCTTTGGGCCCCGTCACGGCCCTTCACCGCCCGTCTCGGACCTTAGCCGCCCGTCGCTGGCCCTAAGCCGCCCGTCACGGCCCTAAGCCGCCCGTCGCTGGCCCTAAGCCGCCCGTCGCTAGCCCTAAGCCGCCCGTCGCGGCCCTGTTTTTGCCGCGTGCTGCGGCCCTGCCCCGCGGCCCTGCCTTCGCCGCCGCCACTGGCCCGTCCCGGCCCGTCCAGACCCGTCGCCGACCTGTCCCAGCTCGTTGCCGCCCGTCGTCGCCCGTCGCTGGCCTGTCGCCGCCCGTCGCTGGCCCGTCACTGGCCCGTTGCCGCCCTGCCTGTCGCCACCCGTTGCAGCCCTGCCCTGCAGCCGCCCGCTGCGGCCCTGCCCTGCTGCCGCCCCAATCGCGGCCCTGCCTGCACCCACCCCTGGTAAGCACCCGCGCCGCCCTGCTACGCCGCGCCGCCAGGAGTCGAGCCGCGCCGCCCAGCCGAGCCGCGCCGCCCAGCCGAGCCGCGCCGCCCACTGAGCCGCGCCGCCCACAGAGCCGCACTGCCCTGCACTGCCCTACTGCCTCTGCTGTTACTGCTGCTACTACTGCTCCTACTGCTGCTATGGCTAGCCCTACTGTTCTCACCTTTGATGCTGAGGGACGTGCAGTTGACTTTGACGAGTGGGTTGACGACCTGCAGCTCTTTCTTCAGTGTGATTCTAGGGATGGGGTATCCCTTTTCGATCACACGTCCGGTGTTTCTACTGCTCCTGCTGCCACTGCTGACAGTACGGTTTGCTCGCAGTGGACCACTCGTGACGCTGTTGCTCGTCTTGCTGTTCGTAGTCACCTGCCGCCTGCTGAGCGCGCGCATTTTGGCCAGTACAAGACTGCTCAGTCTTTGTACGACGCTGTAGTTGCGCGCTACTCCTCCCCTGCCACTGCTGCCCTCAGCCGCCTCATGCTGCCGTACCTTTTCCTTGACCTTGCCGCCTTTGCCACAGTCGCTGACCTAGTTGCTCACCTCCGCACTAGTGATGCCCGCTACCGCGCTGCCCTTCCCACTGAGTTCTGTGCCAAGAACCCCCCCCCCATGTACATCACCCTTTACTACCTAGTCACCCGCCTCCCTGACTCCCTTTCTTCAGTCAGGGACCACTTTCTCTCCCTTTGCCCCACCGAGCTGACTGTCGACCTGCTAGAGGAGCGCCTTGCTGCAGCTGAGAAGAGTATCTTAGCTGTAGGTGCTTCTCGCGGCGACCGTCGCACCCCTTTCTTTGAGGGGTGTTCCCCTGTCCCCCTTCTCCCCTCTGTTGCTTCTGCTGCTGCTGTCGACCTCGTTGGCACTGAGGAGGTCGGAGCTGCGTCTGCCCATAGTGGGAGCCGCCGCAACAGCAAGGGCAAGGGGAGCAAGGGTGGTGGAGGGGGCGGCGGGGGAGGCGGTGGAGGAGGTGGAGGAGGCGGAGGGGGTGGCGGTGGAGGTGGGGGTGGTCCTGGGAGTGGGGGCTTCAGTGGCGGCGGTGGAGGTGGTGGAGGCAGCGGCGGAGGTGGTGGAGGCAGCGGCAGCGGTGGTGGAGGTGGCGGCAGCGGTGGTGCTGGTCGAGGTGCAGCCGCGCAGCGTGGAGGCTTTGGTGGTAGCCAGCGCCAGCAGCAGCCGCGCTCCCGTGAGACCCCGTCGCCCCAGCAGCTTCGTGAGTGGTACGCTGGGCGTGGGAGGTCTGGGGGTGCTGGTCCCTGCACTTACGTTCTTCGCACCGGCAGTCGTCGTGGGGAGGCGTGTGGGCTGCCACACACTACGCAGCGCTGCTTCGGTCGCTTGTCTGACGCCTGGCGTGCCCAGTTTCCT